GAGGACTCCACAGTTCAACCCTGAGCTACACATATTCACCTCTATTGGTAGCACCTCCTTGTGTATGATGAATGTAAACGAAATTAGAAGGAGACCATGTTTTCCTAAATGTGTCTTTGTTATTCAGGTTTTCCAGTTTTCTAATACTCCGGGGTAATTATTTGGACATAGACAAGTTCCATAGCTGTGATATCCAATGCTGCCAGGTAAGATTTCTGCTGTCTTCAGACTGTTAGTGACACAGTCGCTATTTACTATTCCAAGTAACATATTAGTTAATGTCTGATGTTGTAAAGGAATTTAGAGCTGACCTTGGGAAAATAATGGCTATCTCTCAAGAGGGAAAGAAGTAGCAAACTGTTAAGAAAGGATTTGGAGAATTGATCACACAGAGCAGAGGTAGAAGGAAGTATAAGAAAGGAACTCAAAATAACCCTGCACTTATCTTGTTTAGTATGAAATGGGACAAAGAGAAACTTGGACAGGCTTTCAAGTTTCTGTTAATATACCTTACAATAAAAAAAGTAGCATTTCTGGAATCCTGCAGTGTCTGTTTCTTGACCTAGCTTATCTCAAAGGGCTGACAGGTATGTTAAAAACTTATTTCTGTTGAGAGAGAGAGAGAGGGAGGGAGGGAGGGAGGGAGGGAGGGAAGGAGGGCGAGCGAGCAAGCGAGCAGTGCCCATAGTATCAGACATTTTGACTTCTAAGTTGTAACAAGAGTTTAACTTCTTCCCCAAATGTTCTTTACAGCTGTCACATGAATAGAAATGGATCAGGTTCTCCACCAGTTTTCCACCACTACTCCACCAGTTTGATGGAATCCTGGTGATTTTATGGATGTTTCAACAACGTTCCCCAGAATTGAACAGAAATTGTTTTTACTGATTGCTGATTCCAGAGCCTTCATACTAAGAGTTGGATAATGACAGTGAGAAATCATCTTCCCACACAGATGTTAGACTTGAATGGGTATTAAATCAAGCATACGTTAACCACCCACAAATTTCTGAATTCATTTTCAGCCTCCCTTCCTCCACTGATAATTTGCCTGGCTTTTGTCACTCGTCACTTGCTTACATTTTATACTTACATTCAGATTCTTCTGCTAGTTCATGACCAACAGTCATGACCAACAGTCATGAACTCCACAAGAGGATCTTCCCTTAGAATGATCATAGCACACACTATATATTTCTGATTTCTCATGCTACAGAGGACCTGAGAACATATCAGCATCTGGATCCCACCCAACGTAGCAGTGTGGCTACAGCTAGCTGGCAAACTAACTATCTGGGCTTCTTATTAGCCATCCTTTTGCATAGTTCCCCAGCTATTAAAATAGGTCAGAAAACCCAACCAAAGGGTATTTCATGGGGTTTTCCATCAGCATTTGTCCCTACGCTTTTGGACGAATTATTTTCAGATCACTGGAAATAAACCCCTGATGGTAACAGATATTTGTATAACAGTGGAATCTGTTCTCCTAAACAAGGACAACATGTTCCCTTATCAAAGCTTCTCACAGCATCCCTTTTGGAAGAAAAATGTGCCTATGTTATTCTATTAAACTGTGTTGCAATTCAGAATCACCAGAGCCTTTAGCTGTCCTGAGAATGGCAAGATTAGCTTTGAGATCAGCTAACTGCAACGGAAACAAAACTACTCATCCAGAATTTACTAATTTTATTAGCAAATAGAGCTTGTACATGTTGTTGATTATACATGCTACCTCTGAATGCAAGAATCTGTCAACTGCGATAATACATTGAAGGGACTAAAAGTCACTTGGAGAAAACATTATAGTTCTGGTGCTTTTATATAATTATTTCAACAGCATAAATGGATGTTACTTCTGACTTCTGCATCATAGTGTTACCATATTCAGGTGGTGAAACACACTCCCAAATTGATTAATGGACCACGCAATTTGCATCCCTTATGATTAGCAGCTTTTATAATCCTATATTTTCTATCATGCAGAATAATTTTCTTTCAGAACAAATAATAGGATAGCTATGGAGTTCTAAATCCGGACTAGGAGAGGGACAAAGAATATTTGTCTCTCAGCTCCTGCAGTTCTGGTTGCCTCCCATCCCCACCTTGCATTCATAACTAACATTTAGAAAAAAAGACACCTGCTAATTATATGATTAGTGTAATACTGTGGCTGCATTCATACAATGCATCCATGGTGAATCACCGTTAATAGAATTAACCCAATTCCCTAGGTTTGCACAACACATTGAACTAACTGCAAAGGCTGGGACTGCAGGACACACTAAGGTAAAATGTGGCTGTGTGGTTTGCAGTTTGCTGTGCTGTGCAAATACAACCAATGTTTGGCTCATAGACTTCTACAATTCTCAATGTTTTGCTTGCCCATTTCTTATGGATTTGGATATTTTTTGTTTTTTTGGTTTTGGGGGGGGAGTTGACAGAAATGAAAGCAAAAATCAGACTTTAAAATAAAATGTGTGATTTTTTTTAAAAAAAGAAACTTTATTTTAGAAAACAATGAAATACTTTCAGCTAGTTCCTGAGAGTCACCATTAGTAGAGCCAGTAGCATACATTTTTGCAAAGGAAAATGCTTCGGTATGCAGTACTTCAGTGCAAATAACAGAAATATAGGGTTATCTTGTTCTCTGGATCTCATTCACCAACACAAGCCCTTTGCAGAAACACTTCTGTGTCCTGATATCAGCCCAAGGCCAGATCCGAGACATTTTTACTCCTCATTCTGGTCATGGGGATACCCTGAGTTGTCCAAGTGAGAGATCTCCTCTCACTGTTTTAGGTATGGAATCCAAGCTTTTTCCAGTCCAAGTGGTTGATATCAGTGTTGGAAACAAGGGGAGCTGATGTGGCTCTGAGGAAAAGCAAGTGGGGTAAAAAGCACTTCTGAAGGCGCTGGGGGTTGTGTCTGGAGAATCGAGCAGTGAGTCTCATGGGAATTCAGCACCGTAGAAAAGTGCTTCAGTTCCTCTGTCAAGTGTTTGATTTCCCGCCGCAAAGCAGCATTCTGTCTCTCCAAGTCTTCACTCTCCTTTAAAGAAAGAAAAGAAACAAAAAATCAAAAAAGAGTACTGTAAAAGCCTTAGATCCCACCACAGGAAATGTATGTGGGCAATCAACCAAAACAAGTTCTAGTCCGGTCTGGATATGAAAATTCTAATTGTGTTATATCAAAGCAATGAAATTAATTGTGCACTTAAAGCTTTTAATAATCCTTCACAGAATCATAGAGTTAAATACAGTAAACCAGTGAGACCTTCCCTTCCCTCGATACTAAGAGGATCTTTACTGCAAGCCTCTTCAGTAAGGCTATTCTTAAAACATTCCATTACCTGTGAATGTGACACTTGAATGATTAATCAGAGCCTTTCCTCACCAGGGATTCTAACATAACTCAGCCCTGGATTATGCATGTACAATTGATTGACTAAATTTATACACCATTGGCCTCAACTGACTCCAGGGATATCTGGTCAGGGATAATGAAATTCTGTCCTGATGCTCATTACAGTATTAGCTGACTATTAAAATATATTGTCCTTTTTGGTGAGGCTGGGGAAATTAGATTGGATGCTAATTGGCTGAGAAATAGCTAATGCTATATATTTCCCATCACTCTTCCTAAGACAAAGGCAGCTTCTGTCAGGAATCTCTCAATGACTATTCAAGGCTGATTTGGCAAGTGGGTAGCCATATAAATTGAATGACTGACTGACTGACTGACTGACTGACTGACTGACTGACTGACTGAATAACCAAGCAAGCAAGCAAGCAAAATATAATTTACATTTACAACTCTATGACAACTTAAATGGAAAAAAGACCTTAGCCTATCCCTGGAGCTTAGCCTGGGGATAGGCTAAACTACCATATCCCCCAAAGTCTTCCTGAAGAAACAGGTTTCATGACCTTTCAGAAGCCCAAAAAGGATGAGGGGGAGGAAGCCCCATAAGATATCCAGAGGTAAGCTGTTCCATACAGGGGGAGCCATCATGCCTGGGTCCCTCTTGGTGCACTCCCTCACAGAGGGGACCCTCAGCAAGCCCTCTTTTCCTCATCAGAATAGTCTTAAGTGACAGCCCCTTACAGAGTGAACTGAGTCAAATGGAGAATAAAAACATGAGGGGTTATGCATAAAGCTCCTTAATCCAGGAATGATTGCAGTTGGCACACAAAATAGAATTGTGTGAAAGCTCTCTTGGCCACCGTGAGCAATTTTATCCTCCAGATGCTGAACAAATTCTTCACAACAGCCCTGTAGCAGATCTTCTGGTCTGGATTTATCCAATAAATATCAGACAATTTTTAGTAAAGCTGTGGGGTGACTATCTACAGATGAAGTAAGAGTAGAGAAGTAGGCTCCCTTTGGCACTCTTATTGCTGCCAGTGTAGGCTTGACTTTAAGCTCTAACCCCTGTTCAGTCACATTTTTCTTTGTTTTATGCCAGTGTTGCTCTAGGCATCTCTTCTGCCACTTCATCTCCTGGAACTCCTTGATAAATGAAGGGATACCTCTGGATGGAGGAGTAAGGAGAGGCCAATCAGGAGCCATCCTGTCAAGCACTGTTGTCAACCATCTATCTCGGTGGTCAACCAGGCACTCTACAAAATGCCTCCATTTTAGAAAACTTCCCAAGTGCCCCATGGAAGCCTATGGGATCCATTAGGTGCCTGGGGCACAGACTAACTGAATATGCCCTTCTTCCCTGTGGAGGCCTGTGGCATAGTAAAATTTTACAGAAATTAAAGCATGATCTGACCATATAAATTTGATAAATAAATAAATTAATTAAATGAATAAATTAATAAATAAAACGACAAAGGACTGACAGAAATATCCACCACCTTCACATCACTTCTACTATGTAGTCTCCTGCATGGATCAAGTCCATGATCACTTCAGACAAGTTTTTGACTGTCATGGTGGACAAGAATGTACAAGCTGCCTCCCATCCTGGAGAAGGTAAATTGAAGTCCCCCAGCACCAAAAGCCTGGGTCACACTAAGACCAACCTCACAATGAGGTCTAGCAGCTCAGGCAAGAATGCTGCTGTGCAGTAGGTAGATCACTGCCAACTTGCCCTCAAGCCCAATCTCATAATCAAGGCTTCATACCCAGTTATATGTAAAAGAGAATCTCTGACTCCCTGCATAGTTTCCCAGATGCCCAGAGCCATTCTTGCTCCGCTGCCTGGAGTCATGCCTGCTGCATTCCCTGAAACCCAGATGGGCACATCTCCATGAGAATCACCCCCCATCCATGTTTCAGTGATACATACTAGTCTGTCCTCTCATCTACAATCAAGTTGTGAATGAGAGGACCTGTACTAGGGGAAGACCTGGCATTTAGCTAGAGCCCAGAGCCCCATGACTCTGTTACCTAGTACCTTAGAAGAGGATGGGGATTAGAAGTGGGGACCAGTTTGAGATTTCCAATTCCTCTTCCATGAGGACAGCCTGTCCTCTACCTCCAACATATCCTCGTTTGCCCATTACCATCTCAGCAGCACCCCCTTCTGCCAACTTCCTTCCATATGCTCCACTAACCTCCCAAATTATTCTTGTGGAATGGACAAATTCAACCTCCCTCCCACCACACAATCCCCTCTGACTCTCTCCCAACACACTGTGGCTCCTTTAACAAACACTACTGTTACTATTATTAGACCATTTAAATTATGAAATGGGTCTGCCAGAGTGTTCTAATATTGCTGTTAAACTGCAAGTGAGATAAGGGCCAAAGTTCAATAGATAAAACACCAGTAAATATTAGAAAACATCCAAGGGATACATTAGCCAATAGCAAAACAATGCAGATGTGTGACACACATGACATATTTAAGTAATGAACACTTTCAAAAAGTATGTAATGCCCTATTTTCTAGTGCCCTATTTTTGCGGATTGAAAATCACTTTGGTCCAAATCCAGTCTAAAGAACTGTAAAAAGGGAGAGTTGGGCCCCTGAAGTTCAAGTTACCCACCTACACTAAGCATCTGAAGTTGGCTGAGCGTGCATGCCTATCATTTGGCCACAGTGTTCATCAAGATGGTAAGATGTGTTTAATTTCTAATTAATATATGTACATCTATATCTCATTATGCATCTAGAAAAGCATATGCAAACTTTATGCAAATCTACATCCGTTTGCTTTGCTTTTTTGGTGATAGTTTCCTCTTTTCTGATAGTATGCAAGTAACCACCCCTAGAAGTAACTTGACTCCCTTCCAGATCTGCCTAGATTAGCAACATTATTCATTATCATGCTTCCTGCAAAGGAAATCAACTAGAACAACATGATTGACCGCTGTTCCTTGAACCAGCATTTAAGATGAGAAGAAAAATCATACAAGAATTATTTTCTTCTCAGAAGGTGACAGTATTCCCTTCTCAGATTGGTAGATGTCAGTACTACAATCCTAAAGGCACTTATTTTTCAAGGAAATTGTTGCTAAGGCCTTTATGTGGGAAATGAGGCAGTCTTGCTTCACCATAAGACCATCTGCATAGGGAAAGTAAGGATAGATTGCATCTTTCATCAGCTATCAAGAACTAATTAGTTTTGCTGTTTCACATACTTTAGTTAATCTCCTGACAATCATGGGTGAATGGAACAAGAAAGTAACTTCTTGTTTTCAAGAACTGGGTATATGTCCTTATTTTAGTGATGCATAAGTTCTGTGGATTGGAAGTCACACTTGCTTTTTACAGCCATGTGGGGTGGGTGTTCTCCTGGAAGGAGGGCATGCTAATAAATTTAATGTAAATCAAAACAGAAAATGAACACAGACAGAAACTTTTAATGTAACAGCACTGACATAAATACTCAAAAACAAAGTAACACAGGCACAAATGACCAGGAGCAAATGTGGTCAGGAGGGTGGCATGGAGGCAAGTTGATCAGGAGAACTGAGAGAGCAGTGAGGAGCCTTGCCCAGGGGCAGTTTGGGAAGAGGGGGCAGAGGGTGGGGTGGGGGCAATGGGAAAGGTAAAGGAGCGTGGCTAGAAGCACACTGGAGAGTGTGGGCAGTGAAGGGCTTGAGTGCTCATAGTGTGATGGGAAGCAAGCAGAGTAGGCAAGAACACAGCAGGGAGTTGAAGGAGCAGAGCAGGGAACAGAAGAAGAGGTAGGAGATGCAACAGGATGTGGCTAGATTATGAAGCAGGGAGAGCAGGGGTATGAGCAGGGCAAATAGATAACATGGAGGGAAAATTTTGGAGTGCCTGGAGTGGTTGCACGCTGTCCCAGACACTTTTGGCACTCCTACCGTACTTGGTTTACTGACTGACCATTGTTTCAAACTTTCATGCAAACAAAGAACTCCAAATAAGTAAACAAGAAAGACAATTTGTTACACTACGCAAAAAGATAACAGTAAAGACTCCCTCAAGCCAGGCTTCAGTTCCTGGTGACTTCCTGGACATCCCATTTAAGTTTCCTTGGAAATAATATAGAAGTGGCTTGCCACTACCTTCTTCCACATTTTTTTTTTTTTTGACTACTTGGTCCAGAACAGTGTTTCTCAATCTTGGCAACTTTAAGATGGTGGACTTCAACTCAAGCACACTGGCTGGGGAATTCTGAGAGTTGAAGTCCACCCATCATAAAATTGCTAAGGTTGAGAAACGCTGGTCTAGACTACAGCCCTGGGATTATCTGGTGCTCTCCTATTCAAGCACTAACCAGATCTGATTCTGCTTAGCTTTTTTCACAGTTAGCCAGGATTGGCTAGGTGTACCTCTCCTCTCCACAAGTTCAAAGAAAGAAACAGATAATATCAAGGACAGAATTTTCAATTTCCACTACGTTGTATCAAATTTATGAAGAAAAAAAAATTCCCACACGTTATGGTCTAGATCACAGACCTCCGCTCTTGCCACCATACAACCATTAGTTTGGTTAACCTGCCTGTATTTTTAATCCAACTTCCCATTGCAGTATTTAAGAAACAGTACCAAAATCTGAGAATGGGAAAAGGGGGTTGGGTTCATTGTCTTTTTCTGCAATAACAACTTCGTAGAGTTTCCAGGCTGATGTTTTTCTTGTAAACTCACATTCTGGGCAAACCCAAGGAGGAAAGCAGACCTAGCGCTGTCAGCGGATGACATTTTCTGCGCTCGGCCGCATTCTGCCCCCAGCCAGCAACTTATGAGAAATGACAGCAACATATCCTGCACCGAACGTTCCTACTGCCTCTCACCAAGCCCTCATCAGGCACTTGTATTTCCTCAAGCTAAGCCACATACATCCTGACCCCTGACAGCAAAGGCCTGGGGGAATGGGAGGGGGTCAATAACTGCCATCGCTGGTTAGAAAAACCACCTGACACAGGAAACTTGACACTGAACGAGGAGGAAAGTCTAGCTTGCGTCTTTCAGCAGCTGCAGGGAAAGAGGCAGTGTAGTGTAGAAATTCATCAGATGAAATCATGGCTGTTCTCCCCAAGGCCTCACTCAAAAGCAAGCTGGCTTTTATAGAGTAAGATGGCCAGTATGCTATAACAGAGGTCTTTCCCAAATGGCCATCTCTGAATTTGAGCCTTTTGTATGTGAAGGTGTTTCTCCATGTGCAAGAGAGATATTTACAGTTATTATTCATTTGGATTGGGGAAGGGGGATCTTCTGAAAGTCAAGCTGCCAAATTCTCCAGCAAGCTCACAGCTCTCAGATAAGGGCTAGATCATATGCAATAAACCTCAGCAATTATCCTCTGCCTGCTTTAAAGGGGAACCACAAAAATTGAAATTAACCATAAACATGTATAATTTTGCAGATGGTCAGTTTGCAAGCAGGAAACTTGGGTCAAAAGCAGGCATATGAGGGGTTAAAACCATTCTTGGGTGAACCACATCACACTGTTTGTGAGGAATCGCATGACCAAATGTTTCCTCAAAGCAAAAGATGCCCTCCACACTCAAAGCTATCATATAAGAGAGAGGATGGGGTGAAACACTTTCCAATGAGATCATGTTTTCTGTGTGCAAGAGTTTTTTTTTTAAATACAAAGATGGTCGCACACACTCACAATGTTCACTTAGCTCTTGAAGTGATCAGACAAAGAAGAGTTGACAATCCACCTGCTACTTATGCAAACTAGGCAACAGCATTCAGTTTTTATGTGATCTCCAGAAACCACAAAGGTGAGAGGCATGTGGAGTCTCTATGTGACTCCGGCTTTCAGGGAGGACTCCAGGAGCAAAAAATAGGGCTGGCACTCTCACACAGTGTTCAGTGATGGCATTTCCACATGTGCCACGGTACCCTAGTTCATTGTCTTTCCACATGTATAGCATAACATGGAATGGAAGACCTAAGCTCTTAATGAGTTTCAGTGTAGATGATCCTACACATATAAAATATATTTCAGTGAACTGGAATTAGCACTGCAGATGCTAAAGAAATAACTGTTCTAAAGTGCAAAGGATCTAGTGATTTGCCTGCTGTACTCCCCCTAAATATTACCAAGAGGTAAAATTCCCCTGAGAATAAACAAATACATATTTTGAATCATAAATAAAATGCATGATTGAAACAAGTGATACAGTTCCTACTTCTTCAGTATTGGAGATCCTGTACCAGCTTTCCACAGCCTAGTGCTTTTCTGCTAAGCTGGTCTATTGCCTGCATCATCCCCAGGCTGCATGGCCAACAGATGATGGGAGTTGAATTCAAACACTGCTGGCAAGTACAAACATAGTACTGGGAAAGGTTGCATTATATCCTACATTTGTCCAGTATAAACAGTATAGCATGCTTTTTCTTTATGATAATCTTCATCAAGGACTTTCGAGGAACAAATGGCGAACTGAAAATGATTCCTCTAAAAGTGGAGCCTATAACTGCAGCAGAATGAAGAGCCAGAAAGGGGACCAGCTCTTCATAATTCCTCTCCGGACAAAGGAGAGAACTTGAGATTGCCCACAAGTGTCCAGACAGTTGCTCCTTGCAAGGAGGGTTTAGAGCTAAGGGAGATGAGGGAAAACCATCTTTCTGAAACCGCAGTCAACACCTTCAAAAAGGACACTGGGTCTGCACACTTCCTTTTCTAATCACTTTTGGATATTGCTTGTTAACTGCTTTTCAGCTATTAGGAACCGTTGGATGGACAGGTTTTATAGCACTGGGTGAGTTTCCTTCAATCCTTACCGAAAGAAGTTTTAAATACAAGTTTAAGGACTTGAAAAAAATATTTTGGAATAACAGCAAAAGGGTGACTAGAACTTTGATTTTGGAAAGTTACAAATGGACTAAGGGTCCAGATGGATTTGAAATAAGA